GAAAAATTTGAAAATTTTCTGATACCGATTTCCCCAAAAATCGGTAACAAAAAATTATATATTTTATGACAATCTCCGGGAAATTCTACCCCTACTTTATTTCATATATAATTTTTTAAGATTCGGTCAATTAATTTCCGAAAAATTGGAAAAACTTTGTAACCGGTTTCCAAAAAGATCGGTAACGAAAAATTATACACTTTATAGCACTCCCCGGAAAATTCTACCTCTGTTTCATATATAATTCTTTTAAATTCGGTCGATTATTTCCCGAAAAATTAGAAAAATTAGAAAAATCGGTTTCCAGAAAATCGGTAACGAAAAACTATATACTTTATAGCACTCCCCGGGAAATTCTACCCCTATTTCATGTACCCTTGATAAAAATTCGGTCCACTAACGAATGAGTAGTTCGCGGTCAGACAGACAGACAGACAGACAGACAGACGTCCGGTACTTATATATATAGATTTACATGATTTTATAATAATTATTGTTCTTATGCTATATGTTACAGTATTGCTTTCCATCAGTGGATGTTCATGCAGTCCAGAGCAGCACCAAGTAGTTTGATAGAAGAGCAAAAGATTTATTTATTAGATATGTAAGTAAGAAAAAGTTAAATTTGATATAAACCATACTTTCCAATATTAATCGTCAATACTGAAAATCCAAAGTATACGTGTAACATCAACTACAGATTTTCAGTATATAGATAGTGAATATCACAATACAGATTCATATTTAACCTACTTTTATGTTTAAAATATATAATTAGATGTAAATAATAATTACTGTTTTTGTATTATGTTGCAGTGTTACGTTGCTTTCTATCAGTGAAAGTTCACGCAGAGCAGCACCAAGCAGTTTGATTTCCATCAAACTTTTCTGAGCGACAGCTTCATTTATTAGATACATAAGTAAGAAAAATTTAAATTTAATATAAACTGCGTTCCAATATTTTAATATCCAGTACTGAAAATCTAAAGTGTATGTATAACATTAACCATAGATTTTCAGTATAGACAGTGAATATCGGAACGTCATACTTAACCCCGTACTCTTATGTTTTAATATGTAATTATGTATGAAATAAACAGGGTGATTTTTATTTCGTATGCCATTCATTTCCGCTATAATTATCTCAGAAAGTATTGATTTATTGGAAAAATGTTTCAGATAAAAGTTGGAGAGTTCAAGGAGGCTAGACCAATAGACAATTTTATTAAATTTTGAGCCCGGGACCTGTGTTAAGCCTAATAGGATCCAAGTCAAATTATTTAAATAGAAACCCCCTTTTTTTATTACATCATCTTTTTCTACTAATTAGTTATTATTTTAAAAAATTGACTTGGACTTTACTGGGCTCAACATGGGTTCCAGACTCAAAATCTAATAAGATCATCCATTATTCCTCTATAAACCCTCCAACTTTTATCTGAAACATTTTTCCAATAAACCAATACTTTCTGAGATAATTAGTGAAGATAATTGGCATACAAAATAAAACTCACCTTGTATAATTAGATATAAATAATAATTACACTTTTTGTATTATGTTATAGTATTACGTCATTCTTTATCAGTGGAAATTCATACAGTGCAGAGTAGCATGGAGCAGTTTTGAAGAAGAAAGAGATAGAAAGATAATATCAATATTATTTTCTTAATATTGTATGTAATACTATTATTAAAAATAACAATTTGATAAAATTTAATAATTTTCATTAAAATGTTTTAATTTTTAGCAATATTAAATAAATATTATCTAATATTACACAAATAATATTATTGCGTTTACAATATCAATATTATTTTAAAATTGTATGTAACAATACTATTAAAAATAATTTAATAAAATTTAATAAAAATTATTAAAATGGTTTTTTAATTCCTAGCAATATTATACAAATATCACGCAAATATTATAGTAATTTTACCGTAATATTACTGATATATTGCAGTAATATTACCGCAATATTACTGAAATAAATATCAGTAATATTACTGATATTCATTTTCGCGGACATTTTAATATTACTGAGATATCTCAGTAATATTACTACAATATTTCTGATACATTTCATTGTAATATTGCAATCGAAAAATAATATTGCTGCAATATTTCTGCAATATTATGTGCTGTGTGGGACATGTATAATGAACATTAATGTAAATATTACAATGCTGTGTTTGGGATAAATTAAAATAGTGGTTTGGTTTTCATGAGGAAAGAATGGACGTCGACATAAAAATCGAGCTGAAAATTGCATTTAAATCTTACCACTGAATCAAAATATACATTTAAATTTTGATATAATAATTGTGTAGAGTACACATACATTAGTGATGTTTGCAAAAACGCATCTTTTATGCGTTTTTTCTTTAAACGGCGAAACTTTCACTTTTCGTTTGGCGCGAATTTCTCTACCAACATTGGGTTGTCGTAATACATTGCTCTGTAAAGAGTTTTGACATCTGGTCGTTATTCCTTTCCTCAAAGTTGCAGTGCTGTTTTGTCGATTTTGTCCGAGTAATACCTTCGGTGGTGCCATTTTTCAGATATGACGAAACTTTAGTTCCTTATCTAATTGCTATAATTCACAAACATACATATAATTAGTTTATATATATTATTCATAGTTTAATTTATATAGTACATAATATAATACGGAATGTTTCAGAAATAATTTGTCAAATTTGAGAAGCATATTCCATTAACAGTAAAAATGGAAAAGTTACAAATTTTTTTAAGTAACATCGAAGGAAAGGGAGACGTAAAAAGAAGGAAGATAAGAGAGATAAGTGATTTCAAAGTACAACAGATAACAGTGAATAAAAGAGAGAAGGAGGACATGTAAAAAAATGTATATATGAAATGAAAAGAGAGCATTTTTATCTTTTTCTAACTCTTAAAACTGGAAAAGAATAAAAAATAAGTTGAACCAATAATAAAATAACTTACGATAATTCCTTCACGCGTAAACGGGATTGATCTCCTCGGCATCAGCTCCCTGCCGTCAATATATACCTGTGAACAGGCTCCTTGATCTCCTCGGTATCAGCTCTCTGTTGTCAATATATAATACCTCTACAAAATAAAAATGTATTGTATAATCAGAATACTAGCAACGTGCATAACTTCATTTGAGGTTATAATTGGGTACAACATTCATCGCACGATACTGTTATAATTGCAAATCGGAAACGTACCTCGAGTCCAGCTCTTCTGCGATCAACGAAGTCGGGATCGAACGTGTCAGTCGTCACTTTCTGCCAAGCGTAGAGAACCTTCTTTTCCGGCAGCGGTGGTAACACGATGTAGGGATACGAAATCTCCAGATAAGCACAAAGCAATTCAATTCAGTATATCGCCGGCACGATTACGGTGTTACTGCCGTTTCGCGTACGCGCGTATGCGCGCGTTGTCGCACCTTATACCTCGCGACAGCGTGCGGCTCGTGCAAACGTTAACGCGCGGCCGCAATCGCGCGGCAGAAACGCCTCGTGTGAACAGGCTCCTTGATCTCAGTATCAGCTCCCTGCCGTCAATCACGTAAACGTAGTAAACAGTAAATAAAGTAAGTATAACAGTAATATATAGAAAGAATAAGATAATTATAGGATAATTACATAAAACAATTACCTTGAATTAATCGTCGCGTCGCGTAAAGAGTCACGGTCGGTCTCGCTCCGCGCGTACTACCGTGTCTCTCGAGATAGGTTATAACTGATGAACTGACTGACAGCGCGCGCTAAACGAACGCACTGTCTGCACTGCACTGCACTGCGATACTAACGCCGTTAGCCGCCAGTATCGAGAAAGTGAAAGTAACATTTCTTTGTTCTCTGTTTGTTACATGTATGTTATAAAGACGTCAGCGTTAGGAGTATTTTAATTATAAAATTTTCACATTTAAACTTTGCGTCGCAATATCTCCGCTCGTAGGGCACGTAACGGAATATTATAAGAGAAACCCCCCTCTAATTGGACCCCAAGCTATCGATCAAGCCTACTTAGAACTTGATCCGTTCACTCGTTATCGAGATCTCAACATCTCGTATACTCGCAACCCGTCGCGTCGCGTAAAAGAGTCACGGTGCGGTCTCGCTTCGCGTGTACTTGGCGCGAGACACTACCGTGTCTCTTGATTTAGATAGATACAGACTTTATGTTAGTGAAGCGATTCACGTCAGTGAAGCGATAACTGTGTTTCTTGATAAAGAAATATATAATAAAAAAGAGAAGTAAACGCGTGTATAGTAATTTGGTAAGTATTAACAATAATTTACAAGTAAAGTAATTGTTGTTTTTTTTAGCTTATAAATTTATGTGTGTTTAATAGAGTTTCTTGAATCGGGCACCGCCGCGTGGATTTATACGCTATTCTGTGTTTGTGTGCCTTGAGGTATGTTATGTACATATTAAATTATTTTTATTATTATTATATATAACAAAATGTTTAATTTTTTCACAAACATCGGTTAACTTTTAATTTTAGGTTAACTCACTCTTTGTCTCTTTATAAAATTTCTACCAATGTGCCGATTAACTTTGATCTTTGTTTAACTTACTTTTTATCCTTATTTAGTTTTAAAAATTAGAAAAAGATAAAAAGTAAATTAAACCGAGATCAAAATTAATCCGCATTGGTAAAAATGGACGTAAGGGAGACGTTAAAAAGAGACAAAGAGTTAACCGATGTTTGTGAAATTTTGTCTGTAATAGCAAATTCGCTTGCATTAGTGCACACTGAGTGCGCACTAAGACTTATTTATATAATTTATTCTTATATTTATAGTCGCTTAAATACACATTTAAAAATTTTTTCGCCAATAAAACAATCTGTAATATCTATGGATGCTGTACAGTCGTTCACGGAAAGGTTGCAACATTTTTTTTTGATGATTTTTGGAACGCGCAGAAATTTTGAGATCGCGATCCACCATCTCTGTATACACGTAGTGAACGGTTATGATAGCTGTCAAAGAGTGTGTTCGAAAATAAGTTTAGTTACTGCCAGTAAATCCAGTGCAGTTGGCAGCAGTGAAATTTACTGGTGCCGCGTTTCGTTTCTTCCATCAGTAAAACCAGTAAAACCAAGTGATCTCAAGTGATCCTAAAGATAATTTTAAAAAATTATGTGTGTTTAATTAATTGGTTCTTTGGTTATATTAGGCTAAGAATAAAAAGTGATCAGCAGCAGAGAGCAGAGAGAGAGCAATAATTATGGATAAATATATTTTACTCGACAATGTTATTTTCGAATCATCTACCAGTGACTCTTCGAGTGATAGCGATGACAATGAAGAGTTATTACATATTTTAATAAATAATAATGTAGATAATAACAGAAATCAAAGAAGAGTGCCAAAAATTAGAAATTATATGGAGCATGTTGTTGCACTATACACAAATATCGAATTTAAATCACACTTTAGGTTAATATATACGCTACACTTATACATAAAAATATATTGCATACATTTATTATTATATATTTGTGTTAATTAATAATAATACATGTCTTTTATTACAGAATGGAACGTAATACGTTTAATTTTTTACTACATTTAATTGGACCAATGTTAGATAATATTCCATTTCAAGGAAGAGAACAAATTGATATCACAAAACAAATATTAATTACTATTTATGTCTTGGCAACACCAGATTCGTATCGCTCCATAAGTGAACGATTTAATGTGTCCAAATCAACTGCGTGGTTTACTGTAAAGAGGGTAGTTCGAGCAATATACAGTATTCGCAATCAGTTTATTAGATGGCCTACTTATGAAGAAGCTGAAAATACTTGGACAAACATTCAGAGATTATATGGATTTCCTAAAGTTGTGGGCATTATAGATGGAACGCACATAAACATTCCTCGGCCGAAAGAAGATGGCAAAAGTTACATAAACAGAAAAGGCAGATTTTCTGTACAGTTACAAGTAAGAATAAAAATGTTACTTATCATATTTTTATATCAAGAGATAATAAATGTATATTAGTAAATATATATTATAGAATTTGATGTATTTTAATTAAACAATTATTAGTAAACTGTTGTGTACAATAAATTGCGGTTTTTTTTAGGTAATATGCAAAAGTGATTTATCCTTTACTCACGTATTTGCTGGAATGCCAGGATGTGTGCATGATATGCGCGTGTTTCTTTATTCCGGAGTGCAACAATATTGCACTCCACAGTATTTTCCTGACAATAGTCATTTATTAGGCGATGCGGCATATAATATCCAAAAAAATGTTATGGTGCCATTCCATGATAATGGTCATTTAACTAGAGAACAAAAAAAATTTAATCATCGCTTGTCATCTGCCCGAATAAGTGTGGAAAGATCAATAGGACTATTAAAAGGACGATGGCGATATTTATTAGATAAATTGCCTATGACAAGAACAAATTTAATTCCTTATTATATTATTACTTGTTGCGTATTACATAACATATGTTTGTTACGGAATGATCGTATTGAAATTCCTATTATTGTTCCTGAACAATTGCATGAAATGGAACCACTAGGCATTACTAATGCCTTGAAGGAAGAAGGGAATTTTAAAAGAAACAGATTGATGGAAATAATTAGTAATGATGATTTTGAAAGAAGGAATAATTGAGATTTGTAGGTACAAAATGATATGTGTGATGGTAAATGATAACAGTAAATCCAGTTGTTCAAGCATAAGAAATATACTGTAGTTTTTAATAACATTATTAAAAATATACTTTACGATAATACTATTCTACGATATTACTGACTCTGAAAACATTTCAGACACGCCAGATACAGATGAAATATTGTATAATACACAAATTTGTCTTTTTGTAATAGTAAATAAAATATATGTGTTGCATATAATATGTAATAATTTCGTTTTCTATCCTTTATTTTAAATAATTAACACAAAAACATACTTTATTTATATGTTTTTATTCACATATAATTATAATATACTTTATAAATCATATATTATAACTCTAAACATAAAATAGAATTATAAAAATAATAAACACATGAGTATTTTTAATAATTTTATGAATATACATTTATATTTTTTTTGTTTACCATAATACTATAAAGATATACGAGGAATCTTATCATAAAACTTATACTTATAATGATCACAAAACTTGAGCTTAAAAATAAATGAACACAATACTTTTATTACACCATATATATATGTATATATATAAACTCATTTGAGCTGTTAGATATAGAACATAATAATCTCTACTATAGTATTTGGTACAACATCACAGTGTGTAAAGCACACTTCAACCTGGGGCCCTATTCTCGACAAATATGGCATACAATATTTTAGGAATGTCATTAGAAAATCACACTTTGCAAGTGTGCTATTGGTTGCAGAGTTATATTCATGGCATATCGTATGCGATATTTTTCAAGAATAGAGACCCTGAATATAATACTCTCTTACTAAATTAAAAATTAACGATAGAAACAAAAAAACGTATTTTTTCTGAGAAAATAAATAATAAAGAATTACCATATTAGTCTTTGAAATTATAGTGTAAGTAAACTTCTTAAAACGTTTAAATATTTAAAAGTGTATGTGTGTAACATTTTAATACTTTTAATAATACTCCTAAGCTTTTAATGGTTTTGCAGGTACGTTCACATTTCCTCTTCATGTATGTACACACATTACTGTTTCTGTTTTTCAAACGCTTCTTTTATTTCTCTTAATATTTGTAACTTTGTGTCTCTGTAATTGGCAGTTTCTAGTCTTTTTAATCTTTTCTCTTCTAATGAATCCTTCAAGTATTTCGCTCTTGCTTCAGTCAAGGATATCTTTCTTTGCTCTATATACGAAAGTAGTTAAATAATAGAAAAGTATACACATGATGAATAAAGAAATATTTTGTATAGTTACTTACTAAATGGTGATTCATTTTCATTATTGCTGTCAGTTAGTGGTGAATGTTCAGAGTCTTTAATATTTGATCCTGCTACGGATAATGGTTTTATCCAATGTTGCTTTTGAAAAATGTCATCTAACACCTAAAACATAAATATTGTGTGTATATTATGTATTATATATAAAATTATTTATATATTAATGAAGAACTGTTTAAGTCTTTAACTATTTTTATTTTGTACTACATAAAATTTTAATAATAATATATACAAAAGCGATGTGACAGTTTTAAAATTGTAACTACTATTATGTTAATATATTACATCTAAATATATCCAGTCTTTCTTATCATTCCCACTTTGAGCATTATGGTCAACAATTTGACGATATCGTCGCTTTAATGCATCCATTTTATTATGGCACTGACTGCCTGTAAAGTTATATTTCTTTTCTTTCATGCGTTGAGCAATTTCTATCCACATTTTTTTATGAGAACCTTTTTCCATCATATATAATTTTTCTTTGTATAAAGATACTAGAAGAAGTGTAGCTTCATGTCCCCATTTTTCTTTAATTACTTCTAAAATGGAAAAAGTAATTGTTATATTTCTGTCACTTGTTTCGACATTATTATTACTTAGACTTACCTGTATCTGGAGTGTCCGAAATATTTTCAGAGTCAGAAGTAGAAAGTATATTTTCGTCATTAACAGTGTCATTAAGAACTGCAGCATTTGTTATGTTTGAGCAACTAGGTGTACTGTTATCATTTGCCATTACATTTACAGGTGAAGCAGAACCAGCAGAACTATGTGTACTTTTAGAATTAAGTGCCTTTTTTGCTTTTTGTAACAATGTAGTAGCAAATAACATGTCTGTATAAAAAATGGTAACATACATATAAGAAGATAATCATCGCAATAACCTTTATTTTTTGTAACATCTAAAATGTTATATTAATAAATGAATGCTATTATGTAAAATATGGATTATTATAATAAACTTATACCTTTATGAGCACGATTATACATTTCTCTTCTTACTTTTACAACATATTGTGTATTTGTTGCTTCATCGAGTAATTTTAAATCAAGTAATTCTTGGTTATTGTTGCATTCATGTAGAGGCATATTTTCAGATTGCACAGATCTCTTCATTTCTTTTTGTAGCGCCAAAAAACCGATTAAACATACAATTTTTTACGAACAGATTATCTTTAGGATCACTTGGGATTACTTTGGATTACTTCAGCTATGTTTTGCTGGTTTTACTGATGGGAGAAACGAAACGCGGCACCAGTAAATTTCACTACTGCCAACTGCACTGGATTTACTGGCAGTAACTAAACTTATTTTCGAACACACTCAAAGTGAACTATACAAGGTGGAGGTTCACGAAATGTATTTTGTGCGGCGCGAAAAATCTTAAGATATCAACTGGATACTGTAATATCGGGGTTAGTATAAAAGAATAAGTTAAATAGACAATTTTATTTTATAAATTAATTTTTATTTTTAAGACGTGTGTAACATTAAAAATTAATGTAATATAACCTATTAATATAATTATTTATAATAATTTTATTAATTATTATAATAATTAATATAATAATAAAATATTAATATAATTATTTATAATAATTTTATTAATTATTATAATAATTATATTAATTATTTATAATAATTATATTAATATATTTTGTTATATGTTATATTAATTTTAATTACATACTTAATTACGTAATTAATAACATTAAAATTAATTAATAACATATTAATTTTAATACATAATATTAATACATAATTAATACAACAGTAAAATTAACCGGTGTCTGGTAGTTCGGCAAGCAGAGGACATCAGTCGATCAAAGAAGCTACCGTGGAAGACGTGGATGCTGAGACCGCGAAGCTACATCACCGCTTCAAAGCCAATCCTTCTCGTCAAATAACGATGAAGTAATCTTTCTAAAAAATTACAATTATAAAAATTAATTACTTGCAAATTCAGTTTTAGTATAAAATCATCATTTTATTATAATTATAATAAGTTGAGAAGATAGATTTACTTACATAAAATTGCCAGATCGCTGATTACTATTGACTGTTCAGTAAGAACAGATCAATCGCAATCTGTTGTCCGCTGCAATCCAGAGCGAATCTTTTGTAGAAATTCGTTGTGGGATTAACATGTGCACGTCTTTGTTCACTCTAGTACTGGGATCTTCTTTCGGCTGCAGGGCCCCTAGACCGACATTAGGCAGGCATGTTTGGAAACGGCGATACGTCCTCGGGTGCTGGAGAGGAGTTTGTGAGCAGCTTGAAGACCGGTACCAAGGGCGTTGTTATTATCAAAAGTGCCACAGAACTTGATGGGCAGCTAGGCGAGAAAGTCACGGAATCGGCAGGCCCAAAGATATTTTGGATGACTTTTGCCTTGTGCCATGTTTATTCAAGATTTTCATTCCTTCATTCGTTCATTCATTAACGAGAGTTGTTCACGTTACAATCATTCAATGTCAAACATATTATTCATTTATTCATACATCATCTTGGTAAAAAAACTTTTTATATTTTCTCAGAAATTTTACAAGAATTGAAACTTGTAAAAAATTCTGAAAAAGTATATGATATTTTTCAGATACTTTCAGAAATAATTGAAGATTTTTAGAATATTTTAATATCCGTATATATGAAAATTTCTGACAAATTGCACAGATTTTCTTATATTTATTCAGATTTCTGCAAGGATATATTAGCGAAAAATATTTTATTCTTATTTTGTCTGAGTTGTTTAATTCGTATAAAAAATCTGAAAATTTCTGAGTATTCTAAAAAAAATCTAAAAATTTTTATAGAAATCCTGATTATAATGTGAAAAATTCTGATATTTTTTTACCAGGGCATCCATGGAAGGTCACATAGTATTAATACCGTGTGACACTTCCATATGATTCTCTATTACTACATTTAATCTTTGGGGCATAGATGCAACTTTTTGGAATAACTCGTGCCTTGCGCGGAAATCTTCCCATACGATGAGAACATGTTGCGCCAATGCCTCGCGTCTATGTGGAAATTGAGGTTTCCACATTTTCTGAGTAGGTTGTTCCTCTCGTTTTCCATAATGTTACACGCCCAGATTCATCCATCGAAAATACCTTCTCATTCGAAAAAACGGTATTTGTTCATTCATGCTTCTGTGCCAAATGCTGCAAGGCAAAAGCCGTTGTTCTTTGTGACGTTTGGTTAATTGTTTATATTGAGCCGATTTATATCGATTGTATCTCTGTTCTCGCCATCTACGCCGCACGGTTTGCGCTATCGCATATTAGGAGCCTGCGGCGCAGATAGTGGGAACAGAGATACGATCGACATAAACCGGCTCAATATAAACAATTAACCGAACGCCACAAAGAACAACGGATGGCTTTTGCCTTGCAGCATTTGGCACAGAAGCATGAATGGACAAATACCGTTTTCTCGAATAAGAAGGTATGTTCGATGGATGAATCTGGGCGTGTAACATTATGGAAAACGAGAGAAACAACCTACTCAGAAAATATGGAATCCTCAATTTCCACGTAGACGCGAGGCATGTGCGCAACATGTTCTCATCGTATGGGAAGATTTCCGCGCAAGGCACGAGTTATTCCAAAATTTAGTTGCATCTGTAAGGATGGTCGAATTAATTAAGAGATGACTCTTGGTATATGAATATATTTGGATAACTTGTACAAAGGTATATCGGGAACGAACGTAATTGCGACTGGATCGGACTCTCGACTATTCGAGACTCCCTTGCACGGACTTGTACGAACATGCACGGCGACCGTTAGAAGCGCGGCTCGCGCCACACGATCCCTAGTTACTAAGCGCCCGATGCGCCCTCCGCATATCAACCGGATAGACCGGCGACCACACGTCATCTACATGCATCGCGACACTAGCGCGGCTTTACGCCATGAAACAATCAATATACCTCTAAGATTCTTACAGCTTCGGCCAGCCTGCAATCACATTCGCCTCGAATGTGTTAGACACAAACAATATAAAAATAAAACGCAATACAAACTTTCAAAAAATGAACTTACGTGCTAATTTGAATACAATATAATTTTCCACGCACTTAACTTATACACTTGCTGCTTATATCTAACGCGAATTAATATCTATGGGGGTAGAATTTATGGAAGAATTAACCGTGTTATTAACTACATATTGAATCTTTAACAAATGAGCTTTCCACTCATATTGATCGTTTATTACTTTAGTTAGAGACGTTCTGAGAAATCTATTGGAACGTTCGGCTAAGCCATTAGCCCATGGTGAGGCTACTGCGACCTTCCTATGTTTAATATTTAATCTTTCGAGAAAAACAAGAAATTCTCGCGAAGTAAAGGCCGTGCCTCTATCCGAAACTATTTCTTTGGGATTTCCAAATACATTAAAAAGGAAAAGTAACTTATCGCTGGTTTCTTTTGACGTTGTTGTCCGTGTGGGAAAATACCACGTGAATCGTGTAAAAGCATCGACTATTACCAATATATATTTAAAATTATCTGACGTAGTCGGTAATGGACCGTAATGATCTATATGTATAATTTCAAACGGTACCGAAGGAGCTGGTGTTAACTGCATTTCACCTTCTCGCGAACATGTCGTAGAATTAGCAATTAAACACGTCATACAATTGTCGATGTAATCCCTTATTCTTTTACGCATAGTAGGAAACCAATACGTCGCATGAATACCTTTAAAGGTTTTGTCAAAACCGCAATGAGCCATGTCGTCATGATAGACTCTAATAATGGTGTTAATCATTACTTCGGGAACTACGAAACGAGGACGGTCTTCGTCTTTCCGGTAGACCAATCCATCTATGAGCTCAAATTTATCAGTTTTATCGTTACTTTGGTATTCCAAATCGTTAGCAATTTGTTTGAGTCTTTCGTCTTGCAACTGTTTGAATTCAAGCTCTCTTTCTAAAGTCATAAAGTTTACATAAGCTACTTGTCTACTCAAAGCATCCACATGAGGCATTCGTTTCCCTGGTCTGTGAACTACTTTAAACCGATAGTTTTGCAACTGTAAAACCCATCTCGCAATCTTCGGGTTCAAATTCGCTTTATTTACTGCATATACGACTGCGTTACAATCCGTAACAATCGTAAAATCCTTTCCGTAGAGAAATATATGAAACTTTTCAATCGCTCTCATTATCGCCAACATTTTGAGCTCGAAGCTATGGTAGTTCGACTCAGCTTTATTGGTAGCTTGACTAAAATACGCAATTGGCGTCCATTGGCCATCACTCTGTCTTTGAAACAATATGGCTGCTAATCTATGCGAACTCGCATCCGTATGCAACTCTGTTTCAGCTTTGGGGTTATACAACCGTAATACCGGATATGACGTTAACTTTTGCTTGAGAGTATCGAAGGCTTTAACATGTGCTTCTTCAAAAATGAAATCAACCGATTTTTTAAGCAAGTTATACAACGGCTTTGCAATCAATGCGAAATCTTTGATAAACTTTCTAAAATAGTTTGCTAAACCTAGAAACCGTTGTAGTTCATGCACGTTCCGCGGATAAGCATAAGCTTTAATTGCTTCTGTATGCCTTTGACTAATAGATATACCTGCGGACGATATATCATAACCTAAGAATTCGATTCTTTTTCTAAGGAATTGACATTTCTCATAATTTAACTGGAAACCATGTTGCTTCAAAATCCAAAGCACTTCTTTTAGCGTTTCTAAATTATCTTCGATAGTTTTCGACGGAATAAAAATGTCATCAACGTATACAATCACTTTACGACGACGGATAAGATCCTCGAGTCTTATTTTTATCTGTTTCTGAAATTCAGCTGCTGATTCGCTCCAACCGAAAGGTAACACCGTTGACTCGTACTGACCGTCGGGAGTCGCGAAAGCAAAATACTTGGTATCGTCAGGGTGTACTTTAACCTGATAGAAACTATCTTTTAAGTCTAACGACGTAAAAACTTTATTATCCCTGATTTCAGCGATACAATCCTCGATTACGGGGAATGGAAACTTTTGCTTCCACATTCTAGCGTTTAACGGCCTAAAATCAACGCATAATCTTAACTTGCCGTTTTTCTTTCGTACTAAAACGATACGGGCACAGTAGGGCGAGGTACTCGGTTTAATAACACCGCGAGCTAGGAGATCATCGATAATCTCTCGGACTTGTCTCCTTTCTTCGTACGCTAAACGACGCGGAGCATACGCGTATATCGACGGATCACGTAACTTAACTCTAACCGCGTAATCGTTATCAACGACGGGGATGTCAGCTTCTTCAACTTCCCGAATTACTTGT